AACCAGCAATCAATAGACACATAGAGATTGACAAAATATACCAATCCATACGAAGAAATTCACACAAAAACAAAGTCAAACTTCAGGTCAAGGAAACAGTCAACACCAAAACAAGTGAACCAGAAAGTGAGAAGTCACACAAAAACAACCAATCACGTTCAAGGTTAGCAGAAGGAATGACTAACGACATTCAGACCAAAGAAACAGCCAGCACTGAGACAAGCAAACTAGGAGATGAAATGTCACACGAAAACAACCAATCACGTTCAAGGTTACTAGAAGAGATGACTAATAAACTCATAGAGAATTCTAAAAGCTCACTTCACATCGAAGTATGCGCTGAAGATGTTGCTCAGTAGAGCAATGAAAGCTTCTCAACCAAACCATCCAGCTCAGAGAACACAACCACACCAAAATCATCCACCTGAGCTACAAATCTTCTCTATTATATCTAAAGGGATTTTGTCAGACTGTAAGCATCCACCGCAGCTTTCACCTTGTATCTCCTCCTCAGGTAAAACAGGAAGTCATTTCATCAAAAGACTTTATGAGAGCACGTCTTAGTACAAAATTCCATAATGCTATATTGGCGGCAAGTATTTTATGTGGTGAAAATAGTGGGACGAACTAACTAAATAACCAACCTTCTTTGCACTTGTGAAAATAAACCATTTTCTCCATCCTTATTCCACTAAATTTCACTGTTATTATTCTTCTTATATTTATAATCGTCTCACTTCATTTTTGTTTATTTTCTCATAAGTATAAACACCACTTAAACTTTTATCCCCCTACTAGGCAACATATTCAGCACATACTTCAATCTGTTGAAGTGAGCTTTTAGATTTCTCCACGAGTTTAGACGTCATATCTCCTGGCAATTACCTTGAACGTGATTAGTGGTTTCTGCGTCTTTTCACACACTTTAGTATACTTGTATTTGTATTGATTGTTTCCTTGACTTGCAATTTGACCCTTTGTGTGAGATTTCCTTCTTATCGATTGGTAAATTTTGTCTATCTCTATGTGTCCATTGATTGACGATTCACTGGAATACCAAGCAGGCTTCTAAAAATTCTCTAGCATTCTTGTTGTTTCCTCTGTCTAATATTTGAACACTGGTTGTCCCAGTCGAATTGATTTCCGTGATTGTCTGTGTGTAGTGATATGAGGGAGTGGACATCATGTCTTTTGAAGGGGGACGTCCACTTTGACCAATGTAGTGTTTTCCACAGTTGTTACAATTTATTTTGTAGATGATGTTGGTTTTATCTTCTTTCGTTGTTACGTCTTTTGGTTGACATAGAACCAGCTGAGTGAAGTGATTCTGTTGGTTTGTGTGCGATGTCAATTCCTAAAGATTTGAAGAGTCTTGTAGTGATTTCTGAGATGTCCTTTATATATGGTAAGGCGATTTTCTTTGTGCTTTCCTTGGGGGCTTTTGGTTTGATAGGTTGGCTTGGGAGTATATGTATTTGATGAAATTCCGCGGATATCCATTCTTTTGGAAGACGTCCATGAGATATCTTTCTTCAATTTTTTTAAGGTTGGAGTTCTCCAATGAGTCATGACTGGCCATCTTGAATAGTGTTTCTATACAATTCCTTTTGTGTGTTATTGGATTGTTGCTGTTGTAATTCAGTATTTGATCTGTTTGAGTTGATTTTATATAAACCTGAGTTTCTAATTCCTCTGTGGTTGTTCCCTTGACTAAGACGTCCAGAAATGGGATTTTGTTCTCGGATTCCTCTTCTCTTGTGAATTTGATGTCGTTGAAGACGTTGTTTATTAAGTTGTGAGTTTTATCCTACTAGTTTCTTCTGATTATTACAAATTTGTCATCTAAATAACGTATCCAAATTTTGGGTTTGATCTTTGTTAGGAATTATATTTTCGAGCCTTTGCATCACTGCTTCTGCAATCAAACCGGATATTGGCGATCCCATGGGTGTTCCCCTTTCGATTTGTTCATATATTTGGCCAAATGCATCAAAATCATCCACCTGAGCTACAAATCTTCTCTATCATATCTACATCACTTGAACTCTGAAATAATTGTTACGCTTTTGTGTTTCCCCTCACCATACTATGTCAAAAGAACATTAGATTCAATACCTCTATAACATGCTAAAATTTCCATACTGACTCTATCGACAATACTGTTTGAAACAAATCCACTGTCGTTGCAGTTATTATTATTATTAGAGTTCTTATTCTCATTCTGTGCTTTGCACAATTTTGACTATATTCCTACCGTAAATGTAGACAAACTCCTGTAGTTAATTTTATTTGCGTTATTTTGAGTAAATTAGGCGCAATAAATTAGATGCAGGTCTCATGTAAGGACAAATACTCGCCGAAGACATTGACTAGCGGTTGCGCTATATCGTGAAATGGCAGAAGTTAGAATTGATGGACTGGTCATTGGATCGGGTCCCAGCGGCTTAACGGTTTACGAACGCGCCTTGTAACCAAAAAATCCTGGGTTCGAACCCTAATGGGTGCGCACTGATGAAGAGTCCCAAACTAGGACAAAACCGCTGTCCAGTACTCCCAGGTGGTTTTCCAATGGTTCTCTAATCAATATCAGCTCATGATTAAATCCTGTAACCAATCAACCAAATCCCTACAAACAAATACTTGAATATTAGATGCAATATTCTGTGACAAATGCTGAAAATTTCATTCTGTATTATACGTACTGTTTTTGGAATAAAGTAGATTATTATTATTTTATTCCTTTACGTCTCCAGTGGAACATAGGGAGGGCTTCAAGCTAGAGACTTGAAGTTTCGGTAACAATGGTGATTATTTTAAGGAGTAAGATGGTTAGCCTAGGGCCCAACCAGACATATTTGTCTGGCTTGCTACGGTCAACGGAGGTTTTGAAGCGCATCGACCGGGGACAGAACCCTGGACCATGTGCATGGTTGACAAGGAGTCTATTGTTAGTCCACCGACAAGACATCTGTCTGCATAATTTATATTATTTAACGCATCACGGAGTCTCAAAGCTGTGTCATTCATTAAAGCTATGTGTGCATTAGAGTAAAACCTAAGGAGGATCTAACTAACTAAAGGCAAAATAATGCTCTCTTATCTACCTCCTGATTGTAAACAACAATTTCCCCACTTTACCCTGACTCAACATGACGAAAACGATTCGTAATTTCAACACCAGTATCAAATCAGCTTTTTTTATACAGTTCTCAAACTAATTGTCCGCGCCATTTAAAGCATTCTGGACAGTTTACTGCAGCCTTCGTCGGTTTGATACTGAAGATTAGATGGTCGGTTAGGAAAAACAAGCGAAAAAGTATCCCCAACACGTAGCCAACCAGCCTATCTCTTGACAGATATGCAGAAGTACACTGAGGAGACCGCACCGCTGAGTTACATCACACACCAAACCGACCTCCTTCAAATGAAACCTGAATAAGAAGCAAGGTGTTAGGCATAGACCAGAGAAAGAAAAAAGCTCATAATTAATCAGGTGGCCAGCTATAGAAGACTGCAGAGAACAACATGAAACGGCGATCCACTGCTGAAGCCTTATTCTTCCCACTTGTAACTCAAGGTAATCACAATATCACCGAAAAACATCCATTGAGTCATGAAGAAAATAAAAGACAAATTCAGCAAAGAAAATTTTCCTTATCAACGAAATCATCTTCCTTCAGAGACTGTACAGTCGTATTTATGCTTACCAAAAAATATATAGTGGTTTATTAATGAGTAGTAGTTCTGGGGTGACATAACTGATATAATTACTCAGAAGTGGCTTTCGAAGTGAAAATTAAAAGTTGTGAATTACGTGGTACTCAACGGCACAAAGATAGAAATTTGAAAAGGTTAAAATCGTTATTGAGTGAGAATAAAGGTAGTAACTGAGTGTCAATTTATCAAGTGTGAAGAGGGTGTGAAAATGTACAGAAGGAGCAGATGAGAGTGATAATAGTGAATTAATTATTAAAGCAAAAGCAAACTAAAAGTAAAATTAAAAACTAAAAATCAAAGAAAAAATCAAAATTTTTACGCGGAACGACTAGTGAAGATGTGAAAACCAAGGTAGAAAAAGAGGCTGGACAAACTTTTTCTGAATACAGAGTTCAGGGTTGTATTGACGAATCGCCAGCGCCTCCGCCATACACAAAAGCCGAAACCTGACGCCCTTTGTACCATTTAGCTTCATCTTGTAGATGATCTTGAAAGACGAGTCTGGTGGAGCTACGTGGCCTGAGCTAGTAATTGTCTTGCATTGTCTCTTTGCTAACCATGCCGGATAATGTTCAGAGGTGCTTTTGGAAAGCGTGCACTTTGTGCGGCCAATATAACTAGCTCCACACGAGCAGGTGAATTTATAAACACACATTGAGGTGGCCAGTCCAAGGCGGCAGTTTATCCTTCACACATCCGTTGATCATTTGTCGGCTGTAGAAATTGATCCATAGCTCAGCCATAAAGAAGGCTTTCCTCAGTGATCTGCATAAGCGATTCTTCAGGATTCCAGCTGCGGTATCACCATAAATCACTGGTAAATAGCAGTTTCTTCAGCACCGTCTGGGTTCTTTCATGCTTTTCCCTTAACTTCATGTTTTTCTCGATAAATCTTGGAGGATATCCATTCTCAATGAGGACTTGTCTGAGTCGCCCCAGTTCCCCATCAACTGTATCACTTTCTATCTTTGTGCCGTTGAATACCACGTAATTTACAACTTTTAATTTTCACTTCCATAGGCACTTCTGATTAATTATATCAATTATGTCACTACAGTTGTATTACTCAATAATAGACCACTATATATTTTTTGGTAAGTATAAATACGACTGTACAGTCTCTGAAGGAAGATGATTTCGTCGGTAAAGAAAATTTTCTTCGCTGAATTTGTCTTTTATTTTAATCACAATATCATTGGAAATGACAACACAGATAGATACTAAACAGAAAAAACACAATATTAAAGTGTGTACAAAAACAACACAATCAAAGTAACACTTACATTGATCACTATCAATAGAATTGAAGCATACGCTACCATTGCTATAACTTGGAAAGCTTTCTCACCAAATGGTTCTTTACATCCATCAATATAATATGAATCTGGAGTTCCTGATGTTGGACACTCTTTATCCTTCAATTCTAAGTTTTCATCCATATGACAACAGGGTACAGCAGTCACGACATCTGAAAATGAAATTTTCAAAAATGAAATAAATCCAAAACACTTTCAAGAAACTGTCAATTGAATTTTAGATTTTTCCGTCAACTGATTGGACCGAAGTGCTCGGAACATCATCACTCACTGGGAAATGCAGGTACTTCCAGCCAACGAGTCCAAAATAGGACGAAATGCGCATCCTGGGTTCCACTGCTAGTCATCATCCACCAATTTAACTTTCAAGAAACACTAACCAGTTGATATGACTGTTAATCCACTTGTAGTTGCGCTGACGAATTTCCAATCCAGCTGATTTGTGGGTTTACTGTTCTAACCACTACCAGCAACAACAACAACGCCAACATAACGAGACGATACCGCCAAAAAGCGAGGACAGAAGACAAGAAAACAGGTCAGGCTGTCTCATATCAACAGTGAAAATGAGTGACAGCGCCTGCTTATATATATATATATATATATATATATGTGTTTTGAATGGCCTTGAGACACTAATTACACAGATAAATTAAAAGAGTCAAAATCCAATAATAATAACATTAACATTAATGATGACATGCATGTCAAACATGCGCAAGACAGCACTAAAAATTAGGAATCTAAGCCATCAGTGGTAATTCCATACAAGGAAGAAACCTCGGCAAACTTACTCAGAATTCTTAACAAGGCAGGAATTAAAGCGGTTGGCATCCAAACCACCTACCTACTCAATTAGAAACAAGCTTTGTCGGTTAAAGGATCAATCCTGTGGAGCCTTTAAAACAAAACTATTTAGTTTATCTAATATCCTGCCTGCAATGACTGTCACGTCAAATACATAGTAGAACATGTGCAGTCAGTCAGACTAGCCGAGCATAAAAACCAGCAGCAAAATCTACATTGGTTGAACCGATTAAGATAAGAAATCTAGAGAATAGTTCAGCTATAGCACGCACTACTTGTAATCACACACAACCACACAAAAGGATGGGATAGGATGACAGTTTTAAAATCTAATGTCACAGGGTGAATGGAGGGAGAGGTTGATAACAGAAGCTTTTATTTATCGAATCAACTGCAAATACATGTAACAGGAATGATTCAACACCTGTCCACCCAGATATCTGGAAAATTCTACTAACACGCCTACGACGACAAATAGGAGAGGACAAAGAAAACTATTATACTCAAGTTTCGAAGTCGTGTGATTATAATTGATGAAATGATTATGAACAGTAATAAATTTTGTTCAAAACTTTGTCATCCATTAAATAATACTGTTTCACTGCGTGATACATCGGATAAACAAAGCAATATAGAATTACTTACTATCACAATGCCCAAGTTTTACACATATATCAATATGCCTGTCTCGTCATTTAAGATCAGAAGAAAACGACACCATTTGCATAAAAATCTTTCAACTACTCACTGGTATAGTCACGACCATCATATCTATCTTCATATGACATCTTGACATCATTGAAATCTGAGGCATCTCTGAATCCACAACATTTCAACTGTGTAAATAGAAAATCAAAAAAAGGTTGGAATACAAACGAAAGAGACGGAAAAAACTGTTGAAAACGTCAAACTTGGAAATACTTATATTTGATTCGTATTCGCTGATTATTTTTTTAAAACTGAAGTACTCGGTCGCTACTGACACATCGGATCTTGGTAACGATGCTTCGATGGTATCTGATAATAAATGCTTGATTATTACTATCGGTGGAATCCAAGAAGCTCATTTCATCCCATACGGAACTTCTCAGATGGATGTATCTGCCTTCACAATGACTGGTGGAGTTCCTTTCCACTGAGACGCAAACACTTCACCTCGTGTTTCATACCCCCCCCCCAAAGCATTATCCACTGAAATTTACAAGATACAAGACAGCTGCCTCTTGGTTCTCAGTGTTCAGCAACGTTTTTAAACCAGCCTCTTTTATTATAGTCGACAGGCATTTAGTGTATTGAGAAATTTTTTTGATAGTTCCTAATTTGTAGCTTTGAAAGCTTCCTATTTAAAGCGCTCTGAACTGTTATGGCTGAATTCATGCAGAAATATTTACTGTCCTTCACAAACGCGCTATAATAAAGAGTTCATTCGATGGTAGTAGATGGTTGGAGGCAATCGGCCACAGGAAGCTACACTTGACCTAGGTTTCGCGCCAGTGGGTACTCACCAGTCAGAAAGGCGTATCTGCAAGAGGTCAATCGCGAACCCAAATAGCCAACTCAGTGGTAGCATCTCTGACTGTTGGCAGCATGGGGTGACGCGGTTTCGAATCTCAGAAAGGACATCAGTTCCTTCAAGGCGGTTGCAGATTCGCCTTTCTGACTGACTGGTGAGTGCCAACTAGCACGAAATGTAGGTCAAATAGGGCTTCCTGTGGCCGATTACCTCCAGCCATCTAATATCATCAAATCAATGTGCACCGTGATGGGGGGCTACTTGGAATGGTGGCCACAATTCGCAAACCTGACTGATAGAATTCAGTCTGCACCTAACAAAGGACAAGACACATCACACTAGTTACTAGTATCCAATTAAGGAGACCATTCCTCTACCTAGCCGTCTAATTAACTCAGAACACCCACTGAGACGAATAGGAAAGTGCATTCATACAGAAGTTCCTGAAGTACATATTCAACATAACTAGGAACATATAAACTAATTCAAATTCTGAACCAAAATATCCATCAAACTGACTATTAAACAATTCACTAGATGTTTAGCCCACTTATTAGAATTCTTGTGTGGTACTAGCTTAATCGAAATTCATTAAATAAAAGAACGGCCTATCAAGGAATAATTTTATTTTGGTGAAGGCACAGAGTGAAACAGTGTTATTTATCTTAGTGATGGCTTTTCAAGGACGCTTTATCAAAAGGCTCACATAACTTTCAGAGTCTGTTAATGTAATCGCATTAAGCTAAGACAGACAAGCTTTCCTTATTTGTCGTGAAGTCATGAATGATACATGCACTGAAATGATAACCTGATTGGATGGCTTTTTTATTCGTTTATTTTTAGCTTCAATTCCTGAGGTATTGTAAACTAATTGTACCATGTATTTTGAATAATAAAGTGTTACCGTGGTCAAATCTGACTTTTCTTGTCCATCTCAGCGTGGGAGGTACTTTCAAGTGATCAGTTCGTTATAGTGTCGTGTCTGGAGGCTCATTAAACTCAAATTAGATCGCCACTGCATATCTGTAACTCCTCGGCATAATACATTATGTCCCATCCGTTGGTTCTAAAGGTAATAATATTCTCCATGTCCCTGATAATGGTGTTTGAGCTTTACCTACTGGACTGACCTATGTAATCTACCTTACAGTCACTAGAAGGTATTTTGTAGATTAGGCTTTTTGTTTAGTTGGGCCAGGAGGAGCCTTTAGCCCACATAGTTTTCTCGCTGGGTAACTTCTTAGCTCTGAATGTCTCCCTAGTCCTGATTTGTTGGGAATCTTACTTACGATTCCCCCCCCCTGTTATATGCACATAATTTGCTCTGAACGCTTCGAGTTTCGACTACAAATTTAATTAGGTTATGATGTTTCAGTTTTGAAACTGACGGCGACATTCGTCATCACTGTCTATGAAGAACAGTAAATAAGGTAGTGAAACTGAAGTTTGTCCGCTCATATATCGGGGTAACGCATTACCATTCAGCTAAACATTTTAGAAACTAATAAGAACACAAAATCCATCATTATTTTTTCTTGGAATTGATCCCATCCGATGGTTTCTTCAGTTTGCATCCGATCCAAATCCATTTCCTTCCGCATATATGTTGAGCAATAGATTCTTGGTTAGTCCGCTCCCAGAGTTCCTTGCTGCCAGTTCCTCCTACCCATCCGACTTTCAGTGTGAAGTCAAGGCAGCTGTTGATAGAAGTCTCCAGCTGGCTGCTAGGAATGTTACTCATGACTCGCTAAGTTCCTGAACCATCATAAAGGAGGACTGACTTAACACTGGTGTTGAAAATCCAATTATTGTTTTTTATGCTGTGGAGTGAAGAAGATTTCCAAATTTACTTACCTTTCCTTATCCGTTTCGACTGCCTATAGTTGAAATGATGCTTCCAAGATACGTGAAGGAAGTCGATAGCGACTGATTTCTAATGTTTCTAATCAAAATATAGCATTGGCTTCCTTTCAACCACCATCAACTATTCAATATCACTTCTTCAAAGTTCAGGACGAAGGTGAGTCATCTAGCCTGGCGACTATACTGAAAACTGAGCTAACACAATTCAGTTTTGAGGACGGAAGTAGTTGCTAGGTGTTTTCGCACATAGTACAGCAGCGTAGAAAATCGATAAATTACCTTTAAAACAGTCACACGTAACATCTGCTGTAATCACAGCCTTCCTCTTAGCACATAATTCACAATCATATCAGACTTACTACCTGAGGAATTTCAAAACGCAATTAACTGGTCATTCATGTTGATTTTCCTGATTGCGGTAGACTGGATAATGCAATAGACAGTGGCAGACAGTGAGGAAAAGGGCCTAAAATAGACCCACACAAAAATCCTGACGGATCTGGACTTCGCCGATGATATATTTCTGATTTCTCACAAAGTGAAAGATATGCAAGTGAAAAACAACACGTTGGCAGAAGAAGCAACAAAGATAAGACTTCAGTTGAAAATAGTGAAAACAGAGGTGCTGATGAAGATTCCTGGCCAACAGCAACAACAACAGACAACAATCAGCATAACTGGGAAAAATTTGAAAGAAGCAACCTCCTTTACCTGCCTACCTACCTACCTGTGAAGCATCGTTTCAACTACAGGCGGAAAGAAGCGATGAGGATATCAAAGCTCGAGGATCGGGAAAGCAAGACAAACTTTCATTTCTCTCAAGTCTGTGTGGAGATCTATGGCACTAATCAGCATGAAAAATTAGATCCGGATTTTCAACTCCAGTGTGAAGTCAGTGTTACTTACTATATGGATCAGAGACTTGTCGCCGCGTCACGAAGGCCGCATCGATCAACTTCGAACTACAGACCTCCATCGACAACTGTCTTCGCTCAATACTCAAGATCAGATGGATGGTCAGTAAAGATCAGCAACAGGGATCTCTGGAAATGAATGAACCAAGCCAGCAGGAACCGACTGTGCAACAAATACACAAGAATAAATGAAGGTGGACTGACCATACTCTGAGAAAACAAACCATCAAGTGAGTGACATCACACACCAGGCTGTCAAGTGGAACCCGAAATGGAAGCGGTGAGTTGGTCGTCAGTGCGAGGGTGACATGTAGGAGGTCATGTTAAGAGGAGATGAGAGCACATGGGCAGATGTGGAGTTAGGTGAAAACGCTGGCAGAGAACCGAACGCAATAGAGACGTTTGGCTGAATCCCTATGTTCCTCTAGGAACTAAAGGAAACAATATTAGTAATAAAAATGTTGACAGAAACGCAACGGAGGTGAAATCTGTTTTAGCGACAATTTATGCTTACTCTGTAGTAATGATAGGCAGACAACGTCAACTTACCTGTATCATTACAACAGCTGCAAATAAACTCTGTCCATCAAGACTTTGCATGGACTCGTATCCATAGAATTGTTTCTCAAAAATATTCTCCATACCTCCACGTAACTGCATTTTCATTTGAAAAACACAAAAATAAAAAACAACTTTAACACAAAATAACAAGGTGATAAACTCATAAAATAGGATAATGCGATATCATTATTTCATTTCATCATCTGGAAGATTCACGTGCGATTTCCGGCTGAAGTACTCCTAGATCTCACCCAGACTGTCACGTGGTAGTGAGCTCAACAAAGGGGAAGAAGTGTGCGGCATGACGCTACTGTTACTTAGACTTCAAAGTCTCAAAACCTTACTCCGATCAAAATGCCTAGAATAGATAATACTTCAGCGTTTCAAACTAGGCGGTGTTGAGTTCTTGTTACAGTGGGAAAATCAGCACTCACTGGGGAATGCAAACACATTCATTTAACGAGTCCTAGAGGAGACGAGATGCAGCTGTTAGATTCCACCGCTAACTATCAACAACTGAGTAATTCATGGATAATCCCCACCCAGGCATTAATGAAAACAAAACACGTAGTTCAGCGAAGAGTCTGTTTTCGCTGGCGAATTCATTTTCTTAGCTGTACAACCGCAAATATATGCATGGTTATTTTGTATATATGTGTACATTAAGTTTGTCGAACAAAAATACAATTGGTTATAGTTATTTTAACTAAACAGGTGAAGATTGGTAATTGGAGTTACGTAATACAAAATCAGTCAAGAAAAATAGGTGTTATTGAAATTAGGGTAGTGTAACAAAGGTGATAACTTATCACAAACAGTTGTTAAAAGAAGTTATGTAATAATATGAATGGTTTGGTGAGTGAGTTTTACTCAGGATGCACATAGGAACAAAGTAGATAATACGAAATTACGTAAGAGTTCTAAATGAATAGAAGAATTATAAGCAATTAAAGAACAGGCAAACAAACAAAATGAAGTCATCAAAATCAAGAAAGTTGTTACCATGACAGTAGAAGTGGTTGAGTAATCCTCTTTTGTATGCACAGCTCCGGTTTTTCTGTGTGAATGGCCAGAGTTTCAGTGATACAAAGAAGACGAAACCGTATTGCCTTTGGTAGGTTATTCTTGACTCTGTAGATTACTTTGAAGCAGGAGGCGTTTGCTGAGATGGAATGATCAGTGTTAACCAGGTGTTCAATTATCATACTCCTTATTGCACCAATATAGCCTTTTCGCAACCATGCTGGATAGTGTTCTTGAATCCTCTTGGGCAGAATGCACGTTGAACGACCGATGTACCTGGCTCCACAGCAACAGGTGAACTGATATATGCACATAGAAGTGGTCAGATGCGAGATCTTGTCCTTGAGGCTTCTGCAGATCAGTGGGCGACTGGAGAACACTATTCTTAGTGTTGCTGCAAAGAATGTTCTTCTCAGAGATGATGTGATCCTTCACTTGAGAATATCGCTTGTTGAATCTCCCTTGAAATCCAAGTTCATGTAGAGTTTCTTTTTAGGAGAAAGTGAAGTTTCGTTTCTTCGAACTCTCGGTTTAATGTTTTTGTTAATGAATCTTATTGGGTATCCATTTTGGATAAACGTTTCTCTGAGAATATCTCATTATGTTTCCAGAACGTCGGGACTACAGATGCGTCGGATGCGGGTGGCAAGTGATTTAATTAAATTCCGCTTTTGTTGAATGGGTACCAAGCTATAGAAGCTGGTTAGTTGACCATTCTAAGTAGCTTTTCTGTGGATCGATCTTATTAGGCTCCCACCAGTTCTTCTTGTTAGTTTCACATCAAGAAACGGAATTTTTGATTCGTTTTCCATTTCGAGAGTGAATTTTATCACTGGATGGCAACAGCTAAATGTCTTCAGCAGTGGATCGAGGCCATTGTTGTCACAAATAATGAATATGTGTTGTATTCATTTAGAACTCTTACGTAATTTCGTATTATCTACTTTGTTCCTATGTGCATCCTGAGTAAAACTCACTCACCAAACCATTCATATTATTACATAACTTCTTTTAACAACTGTTTGTGATAAGTTATCACCTTTGTTACACTACCCTAATTTCAATAACACCTAATTTTCTTGACTGATTTTATATTACGTAACTCCAATTACCAATCTTCACCTGTTTAGTTAAAATAACTATAACCAATTGTATTTTTGTTCGACAAACTTAATGTACACATATATACAAAATAACCATGCATATATTTGCGGTTGTACAGCTAAGAAAATGAATTCGCCAGCGAAAACAGACTCTTCGCTGAACTGAGTAATTACCTGAAGCAATTTTAACACATCAGCGTACTGAAAATATTCACACGCTTCAGCTAATTGGCATGTAGATGAGTGGCATTAGTATTACTTGTTTGAATTAAATCGTTTTACTAAGCAAAGTCACAAAACTGTTCTAGAGACAGACTATTTTACATTTTTAGGTTATGAATTTTGTAGGGATCATCTACTAATTTCACTGAAGATTACATCATTTACACAACCACTGAAAACCAGGGAAGACTTGATGGCTTCTTCGTCATAGATCGAGACTCTTCAGTAGCAGACAACCAACTCCAGGATTCAAACCTAGAAACTTGTGGGTTACAAGGTGAGCACACTGACCATTAAGCCGCTGGGACCCGATCCAACGGCCCATGAGTTCCCACTTCTGCCAAATCACGACATAGCGCGACCCCTAGCCAATGTCTTCGGCGATTATTTGTCCTCACACCCAACCTGCTGCACCCTACTGGTCACGACTTCTCACTAGAACCCCAGGTAACTACCTACCTGAATAGGGCAAGTCGCTAATGAGCATCTCATTGATGTTGATTGGTTACAGGATTTTCATCATGAGCTGACATTAGTTAGGGAACCACTTGAAAACCTGGGAGTACTGGACAGCTGTTTCATCCTAGTTTGGGACTCTTGATGAAAACCCTGTAACCAATCAAATCCCTACAAACCAACAGTTGAATATCAATGAGATGCTCATTAGCGACTTGCCCTATTCAGGTAGGTAGTTACCTGGGGTTCTAGTGAGAAGTCGTGACCAGTAGGGTGCAGCAGGTTGGGTGTGAGGACAAATACTCGCCGAAGACATTGGCTAGGGGTCGCGCTATGTCGTGATTTGGCAGAAGTGGGAATTCATGAGCCATTGGATCGGGTCCCAGTGGCTTAATGTTATACGAGCTCACCTTGAAACCAAAAGGTCATGGGTTCGAGTCCCGGTGGGTGCGTACTGCTGAAGAGTCCCAAACTAGGATGAAACAGCAGCTGTCCAGTACTCCCAGGTTTTCAAGTGTTTCTCTAACCAATGTCAGCTCATGATGAAAATCCTGTAACTCCCTGGTATCTTTTCAATGGTTTCCTAGCCAATATCAGTTCACGGGGAAGTCCTGTAAGCAATCAAATGCTTGCAGACCAACATTTAAAAATCTATACCGTTACTTTAATTTGGGTAATTCAATGACAATTAGGCTTGGTAAAGTAATTTCACAGCCTTAATTTTGTCTTGATCAATACTCATGAATCGACCATTTTTGCTCACCTCTACTCAATGAAATTATTCAAGGCGTATGTAGCATATATTGACAACTTTTGCAAGTCTAATCAATTTCTTAATTCCATTCTTAACTCAAGAATATTCCTGTATTTTCCTTAAAGTGTATGTGGACAAGTATACTAAGGTGACGTCAAAGTATGCCTCCCCAAGAGAATGAGTATACTAATATCTTTGCAGAGAAAGAGACATTGAGAACAAGCAAGAAAGCGGAGATATAGTGTCAAGTATTTTGGTAACTGAAGGCTGTCCGGGATTAATGAGAAACGATATTTTTTCCAGAAAGGGGCTTTAAGTAAATCCTTACCTTAAGCTGAATCCATCTTAATCCCAACTCTAATCAACCTTGATATTGAAGAATGGTCATTTGAGTAAATATTTATACTTCTAAGAGAGAAAAATTTGAAGTTATTCTTGTAATATATTTAAGGAAAGTTAATTGGTGAATGGTGACTAGCAGTGGAACCCAGCCAGAATGCGCATTTCGTCCTGTTTTGGACACGTCATCTGGATGTACCTGCATTCTGCAGTGAGTGATAATGTTCCCACCAAGGCTCGAACTCCGGTCCAATCTGTTGACTGGAAAATCTAAAGTTTAATTAAATAATCAATAAAACTGGTTGCAGAAAATGTGGCTCTTGTGGCCCAGGTGGTGTAGTGAACAACACTTTGGCGTTTGAAACTATGGACACTGGGTTCGAGCCTCTATGGGGACATCACCGCTCACTGTGGAATGCAGGTACACCCAGCTGGCAGACGAGTCCAAAATAGGATAAAATGCGCATTCTGGCAGAATTCCATTGCTAGTCCTCATCCACCAATTTACTTCTAATTAAATGCCCAGACATAGTCGAAGTATCTGCACAAGAAGCCGACATGTCAAACTGAAACCGAGCACTTCGGTTGAATCAGTCGACAGGAAAGCCAAAATTAAATTAAATAACAGTTTTGTACTGAACAGTGTTGATATAATGTAGAGAACTTTCAGCAAAGGTATGATAGCATGATATTTCCTGCTAGCCAAGGATTTTCAAATAAAATAATAATTGACAGTAGATCGTGTGACACAGCGCTGTTTCCCTTGTAGGGCAAATCAATCCACTATGATATCTCTTCTTTGCCTCTTTCGATAACTGTATGACATTTACTTGAATGCCAAGCGCGTACCATGCGCCAACTTCAAAAACGCACTCGTGAACACTATACAGCCTGGCTAGTAAACGGAGAATGAAAATGGGTATATAGTTCAGTGAAAGAACATCTGATCAATTCAGGATATTCAGCGCCATTCGAAAAATCCTTCAAAATAATATACAAGATCCGATCAAACCTATCAAATGGAGTGAAATTAAGACATCTGAGCTTAGCCGAGGCACTAGTCATCTAAAAGCTCACACCCACTCTATGTATCCCAAGGAAATACATCCAACCCTCGTCCCTGCCATGGCCATCGTAAACAGGTAATTCGTTTAGTAATAACCATCCCATTGCCTTTCTTATCCAAACTTCCTGTT